AATCTAATTTAAAAATGGGCAAAGGACTTGAATTGCCATTCCTCCAAAGGACATATAGCTGGCCAATAGACACATGAAAGAATGCATAATGTCACTAATCATCACAGAAATGCAAATTAAAGTCACAATAGGATATCACCTCACACCCGTCAGATGGCTATCATCATGAAATCCACGAATGGCAAGTGCTGGCGAGGGTGTGGAGAACAGGAAGCCCTCCTGCACTGCTGGCGGGAGTGCAGGTCGGTGCAGCGACTGTGGAAAGTGGTATGGAGCTACCTCAAACAATTAAAAATGGAACTGCCTTATGACCCAGTGATTCCCCTCCTGGGAATATATTCAAAGAAACCTGAAACACTGATTCAAAAGATATATGCACCCCTATGTTCCCTGCAGTGTTATTTACAATACCCAAGATTTGGAAGTAGCCCAAGTGCCCACCAGTAGACAAGTGGATAAAAAAGCTGGGGTAAATTTACATGATGGAATACTACTCGGCCATACAACAGAAGGAAATCTTACCTTTTGTGACAGTATGGACGGACCCAGAGGGCATTATGCTAAGTGAAATTAGCCAGCCCCAGAAAGACAAATACCATCTGATTTCACTCATGTGTGGGATCTAATAAACAAATAAACAAAATAGAAACAGACTCACTGACCCAGAGAACAGACTGACAATTGTCAGAGGGGAGGGGGGCTATCTAAAACGGGTAAAGGGGGTTAAGCAAAACAAACCCAAACCCAAAACCAAAACACAACCTCACAGACACAGGCGAAACATGGTGACTGCCAGAGGGAAAGGGGGTGGGGGAGTAGAGGAGGGTAAAGGGGGGACACATGGTGATGGAAGGAGACTCGACTTTTGGCGGTGAACACACAGTACCATATACAGAGGATATAGAATTGTACGCCCGAAGTCTATATGATTTTATTAACCAAGGTAGCCCTAATAAATTAAAAATGGTTACTTTTCCCCTCCCAGAGGCACCTAATGATATGTTTCTGGCTCTTCATTGTCAGGACCCGGTGAGATTTCTGGAGATAGGGCCCAGGAAAATGTGGGGGTTTCCCTAAGATTTCAGCCCCGCAGAGTCCCCCACTTCTCGCACTAATCCTCACCCAGCCCCCAGCCACTCAGCAAAATGGCCCCTTGAGTGTTTTCACGCATTTGTGCTCCCGTCCACGCCTTCTGCCTCTGGCAAGCCAGCCTCAGCAGCGGTCTCTGCGATCACCTCTCTGCAGCTGGGGTGGCTCTTTGCCTTGCGACCTCGGCTCTCTGGTGGCTCCAAGAGAAGTCATTCATTTCCAGTTTGTTCGGCTAACTTTTCCTGTGGTAGGCACATCAGTGGTGACTTCCAAGCTCTTTAGATGCTGGGCCTGGGACTGGAAGTCGTTTGTGCGCTTTCTTTTAAAAACTGATAATCTGATCAAGTGCATTGATTCTCAGAGAAAAAGATGGACATTGGTCCTTCCACTCTACTGAGTGCTGATATATTATTTTATTATAACTTTATATTGACATAGAAACATAAATTTAAATCTAAATTCCATGGGACTATAGTTTTTAACCAACTATTGAGATGTAATGTGTGTGTAAAGTAAATTTTAAAATCCTGTAAAAATAATAAAATATGAATCAATAACATCAGTTTAAGGTTTTGTAGGTGAGCCAACACATTTTTGGTAGGCTTAGTAGAAGGAGGATACTGCTAAGTTCTGACTATACTTGGTATGTTTATGTATTTTAACTTGAATAATACTTGTATAGGAAACTTCTCTTCCCTTATGGTTATATAGAATTGTTACTGATAACATCAAGATTTTTCTTTTTCTATTTATAATCATCAAACAAAAACTTTTCTAAGCTGTAATTTTTTAATATCCATTTTGATCAGCTATGATTTGCTAGTCATATAAATGTGTTATATTCACATAGAGATGCATCTATTGCAACATTATTAAAATATATTTAAATCACTTTCTAATTATTGCTTTGAGTTCAGTATGTAAAAAGTATCATCTTGGTCAGTTTTTCACATAAAAGTGTGGTGGTATCACTTACCTTATAACTAATGGCCTGTTGCAATTGTAGATACACAAGTATCTCTTAATGAGTGTAAGATACATGTTCCTTTGGGTTCAGTGTGTCTGCTTTCACCACAGTGAGCCCTCAGGCACTTGAGTCATTTCTTCCAGCCCATTTCTCTCTGACTGTAAACCTTCACTGGAACACCGGGAAGGAGGTTATGCAGCCTGCACTCGAGACACACACGTCCACGGGCAGCAGAAACGAAGTCGTGGGAATCCCATGGCTGTGACTGATGGCAAAGCCACTGTCTGGGTGACCTGGAACCTGCCGACATTTGCAGAGGGTTTTCCATATGACATTTCTGATAGAGACCCCTGGTGATACGACACATACTGATCTTAGATTGAGAAGAATGCACATGTTGCCAAGGTTGGAAATCCAACATTACTGGGTTTGAATACCAGCTCTGATGACTTATGACTCTATTCTTGGCCAGTTTGCTTAATATCCCTAAGCCTCAATTTCTTCATCGGAAAATGACCTGGCAGAGTTGTTGTGAAATTAAATGAAACAGTGAATATAAACTCCCAACTCCTTGGACATTCCCTCTGTTCTTTCAATTAATCATTAGCCTGACTTGAATCTATTTTCTACCTGCTTCCCTGGTGAGGCATTTACATATAGTAAGACCTAATAGACAATATTGTATAATGCATTATATATTACTTATACACACACAAAGACAGGGGGCTTTCTTAATGCATAAGTAGATTTTTGAAGAATGTGGAAGTAAAGAGAGAAGTGGTTAGTGTTGTGAAAGTAAAGATGTATACACAACAATATTTCTCGTAGGCTAGAAATATAGCCTACTCTACAAAAATAAACCTCAGCAGGCTAGAATTTTGGAATGTTGTCTTAGTTTATTATTCCCAGTCTTGCTTTTCTTTTTTTAAAAAAGATTTTTATTTATTTATTTTTAGAGAGGGAAGGGAGGGAGAAAGAGAGAGAGAAACATCAATGTGCGGTTGCTGGGGGCCATGGCCTGCAACCCAGGTATGTGGCCTGACTGGGAATCGAACCTGAGACACTTTGGTTTGCAGCCCGCGCCCAATCCACTGAGCTATGCCAGCCAGAGCTGCAGTCTTGCTTTTCTAATCACCATAGTGTTGACAGGGGTATTCAACTTCTGAGGTTTTTTTTAAACCCTACATTTTTTAAATACCCCCAAGGGACCCTATTTTATAAGACATATATGTGAGAGAGGATGTACCTATATACAAACCATTATAAACAGAATAGAGCAAGTTCTGATGTTAGTCTAAGTTCCTTGTCACTAAGAATGCGGCGAGGCACTTAGTGTGGTGAAGGAGCAGCCTGATAACCTTCCAGCACCTGCCCGGCTCCACCGCCACCACAGTGACCCCACTTCTGGCTTGAAACGACCTGGCTAGGATTCTCACTGCTCATTTCCATGTCCCTGCTATTACTACTAATGAAACCGACATAATTTCATTAAGCAATGTCACCCCAATACATTTAATTTTTTTTAAAAAGGAAGAAGATGGAAGTGTATGGAACCTGAAGTCAAGTGTTTGGATTTGAATTCTGGCCCAACAATTTGCCAGGGCAAACGGCTTAACCTCTGAGTCTCAGTTGCCTCATTAGTGAAGTGAGGGCACTAATAGTTTCTGTCTCAAAACTTATTGTAAGAATAAATGAGAAACTACAGGCAACCTTACCTTGTGTGTCATGGGAATTCAGCAAGTATTTTTTAGAAGAATCTACCATTAAAATGCCATACGGATTTGGAAAAAAAAAAAGGAAACAGAGGCATGGATACATGGAACAGACTGACAGCTATGGGGGGGGAGGGAGCTGAAGGACTGGATGAGAAAAAGTGAAGGGATCAGGCAAAAAGCATACACGCATAACCCATAGACACCGACCACAGTGCGGTGGTCGCCCGAGGGAAGGGAGGGCGGGGGCGAGGTGGAGGTGGGCAAAGCGGGGTGGGGGGTGGTGTGTGAAATGGTGACAGAAAGAGACTTTGCCTGGAGCGATGGGTGCACGATAAGTGTACAGATGATGTTTTATTGAGTTGCACACTTAAAACCTGCATGGTTTTGCGGACCAATGTCGATTAAAAAAGGACAATTGAAATATTATCTACCCCCCCAAAAAAAATAAAAAGAAAAGAGAGGCTGTGTAATACTGTTACTTTCTCCCTCGAGCACAGCACCCTGTCCCTGCCTTCTCTCTCCCGGGCGTACTGTCTCCTGAGAGTGTTCTCTGGCGCTCAAGGGCGTGGCAAGGTTATTTTGGCCCTTTATGGTAGAAAATATGATCTCTCTCTGTTTAGAGCACGCATGGAATGCAAACTAACACCTTCCCCCCAGATGAGTTAGATCTAAAACTTAGCTCATCCATGCAATGTATACCTCTCATGTTTGTTGTGCTGGAACTTACTGAACGTGATCATACAAAGGAGATGAAAAGGTTAAACCCTGACAGGATGGTGGAAGGTGAAAGACATCTCTTTCCTCTGACTCCCTGCCTGAGACGCCTTTTCCCCACTCTGCTTCCGAGGACATAAGCAATTGGTTGGGGGCTCCCAAGACAGCAGTAGATAATGCTAGCATCAGTGTACATAGAGCTGAAGTAAGCATTATTATTAGATTATTGCTTTTACTTAGTGAGTATCTGTGTCCTTTTCTTATATGTTTTGCATTTGAAACAAGAGATAAGTGATAAGGAGAAAAATTACTTACTCGTGGAATTATCCCTCAAACTTGCCCAGTATGAAAGAGGATATAATGAGAATCAATAGAAGATAATGAGTTTAGTGGAAGATAATGGTACGAACTGGTAGAAGGCATAGATATCACACGAAGGGAGAATTACTCTGCCTGTTATAGTAACCCTTGTTTCTTTTGCATCTACTTCTCTTTTTCTTTTGTAATGTCCAAGATAGGAAGAGGAATGAGTTATCTGACTAATTTAGATTTTGCAAACTTGTGCTTGGGTGAAAGTACTATTGAAATACAATGTTAAGGAAGATTTTCAACACTCAATGTGTCATTTCCTTTTTTCATGAATCAAATACTGAAATACTATGTGATAAAGATTTTACATTTCAATCGTGAAGAGTGGGAAGTGGATAAACCAGTTCAGCTGTCTTTGGGACAAACGGTAAAGTAATTTATTTTAAAGTTTTTCCAAAAGTGCTTCTACTAATTGTATGTATCTAATCTGTGTCTGGGTGTGTGTGTGAGAGATACATATGTATATATAGGTGTATATACACAACATAAATAGTTTATGGTAGAATTTTTTATCCTATCACTAATAATTTGATTTGATGATTTCAGTGGTAAAGAAATAGAAATTTTTCTTAGGTTTTCCATGAATAAAAATGTATGTGTATGCATAGATATATGAAATATACTAAATACTTTGTAGGTTAAACTGGTAAGAAACTTTTAGCATATAACTGTGATAATTTTATTGAAAAATATTGGCTTTATTCAAAATACAATTAAACATTCAATTAGTCACATTTCCTTAATCTTCACATTATACTTTTGGCTTTAACTTAATACCTTTTATAACCTTTGTATGCTCATACAGGAACTATTATTTGTGTTCCAATATATGCATTCACTGGACTAGTTGTAGGGAAATATGCAGTCAAATTACTGTATTCAGGAAGTTCATGATTTAAGACAAATATGTAACTTGAGCACCTTAATATGATATAATATATTAACATATAATTTGAGTACTTTAACTAGTACAAAAGTGTGCAGATAACTACTATGGGAATATAAGAGAGGCCAAAAGAGAGAAAGGACCATTACAAAATATTCATGGATTTGTTAGAATTTAGCTTTGTCTTGGAGAATGAGTAAGATTTACACAGTAGAAAATGGGGGTTAGGATTGTCACTGGCCACGTGAGAATAGTGTTAGAAAAGTTACAGAGCTGAGATTACAAGTGCTTTATGCAGTAGTTAGTAGCTGATATTCTGTAAGTATACAGCCTACGTACAAATCTAAGCTTCTCCACTCCCTAGTTGTATAACTTTAACTAGTTATTTAAACCTTTTAGGTCTCGGTTTCAAAATGGCAACACTACTGCTATATACCTTAGGGAGCTGCTGTGAGGATACAATTGGAAAAATTCAGGTAAAAAGAAATCAATATTTTATCCCTGGCTGGTGTGGCTTAGTGGACTGAATGCCAACCTTTGAACTCAAGTCGCTGGTTTGATCCCCAGTCAGGGCACATGCCTGGGTTGTGGGCCAGGTCCCCAGTAGGGGGCCCATGAGAGGCAACCGCACATTAATATTTTTCTCCCTCTTTCTCCCTCCTTTCCCCTCTCTCTAAAAATAAATAAATAAAATCTTAAAAAAAAGAAATTGGTATGTTAAAATAAAGATGATTCACTTATTGATGGTTGTCTGTGTACCAATTTATAAAAATTACTTTAAATCCTCATAATTATTTAAATTGAAATTGTAATCAAGTTTTACACATACATAGAAACTACAATCAAATAAATTAAAATATTTGTCTGAGGTCACATAGTTCGGAAATGAAACCTAGACTTCAGATGCAAACTGGCGCTCTCTCTCCTTCACTGCAGGGAGGAGCATGGGCGGTGCTGGGCACAGCGCAGCTGTTTCCGCTTCTTACCTTGATCCCGTTTATGGACACATTTCTTAACTGGAGAGCCATTTTTTTCACAAACATATAATTATTTTTACTTTGTAACATTTTTAACTGTTCATTCAAAATTAAAGTTTTTTCATTACAAAGTTATTATTTACCCCAAATATTAAAGATAAAGTTAACCATAAGAGTTCGTTGACAAATCTGAATAGAGAATAGTCTTGGAAGAAAGACTGTGCATAAATTATATGTAGTGTATAAAAAGGGTTTATTTATGTAAAGATCCCCTGGGTATGCATGAGCAATTGATATGAATAAAAAAAACCCAAGAAGAAAAATACATAATTGTGTGGAAGTATGCCTTCAAGACTAATAACAGAAAATGCAAATAAATAAAAGCCACCTTGGGATATTAACTTTTATCAAAATCAAAATGATTCTAAAATAAATATCATTACTAAATAGTGGTGCATTTGCTTTAAAACTGCCACACTCACTTTCTAGGAGAATCATAAATTTTTTATGATCTTTATAAAGAGCAGTTAGGCAGTAGATGCCAAGAAGTTCAAAACAGTTTTTCTGTTAACTGATAGTTTGATAGTTTGATTATAGTCAATGCATGGTGAGTTATCCTACAATAACATTTCCAAAAAAGACAGAGAAATTATGAAAATATCTACATTATCTGTATTAGTAAATATTGTCCTCCAAAGAAAAGGGGAAATTTTTAAAAAGCAGAATTATATTATAGAAAAATGGCTACATGAATAACATTCATATATTTGATGAGTTATTATGTAGCCCATAATTTTAAATTAAAAAATAATTTGATGTATAAAAATATAAATAAGATCTTGAAAATACAGAAAACCAAATGATAATGTCACTATGAATCAACAAAGTAACATATGTATGTAGGCACAAAGGCTCAAATTGCATATAAATAATCAAAGTGTTTTTTCTTACATTAGAGCAAAGGAAGATAGAAACTTTGACCCAGTTTATCTCTAATATTGTTATAATGTTCTTATAATAAAAAAAAACAGGAAAAACGTGGCAGTTATGTTTCCAAACAAGATAACATTGGAATTCTTTCATTTGATTTTCCTATCATAGCTTCTGGAAACTTTTCACCCACTTTATTAAAAGCTGATATTGCAGAGATTTGTTTCACTTCTCACGAGAACATCCTTTTGATAGATTACACAAACTCAGAAGATTTCACAGTTCTTTGTCAGTGCATTGACATTTGGTTGAAATTGTAACTTTATGTGAAGTTACCTTTTCTCTTAACTTTGGAAAAGACATTTAAAGACATTTGGATTGTATAAATGGTTCACTAGCTCCTAACAAAAGTTTATATATGTATGTTCTTTAAAATTATTTAAAAATTGCAATAATAATGCAAGTAGAGAACTAAAATAATTTGGTAAGTCTAGTGAATGCCTTTGAGGTAAAATGGGAAATTTGGAGCTGAAATTTTTGTTTCCTATTTCCACACAATTCAGAGAAAACCTTTCTATTTTCCACTGTGTAAAAGAACTTTTATATTTTCCACATTAGTTAAATACAGACTTTTCTTGAGGCATAACCCCATATGTGAAACCTAGTCTTCTTGCAAAAAATGTTGTCTTTCATTTATTTGTGAAATTTCTTATAATTTATTTATGTATTTGATGGGTACCTACCAAGTGCCAAGAACTTTCTGGTCACTGGACAAAAGAGATAAAACTCTTGAATCATGGATCTAACTCGGGTAAAAGTAGACAGACAATAGACATGATGAATTAAAAAACAAGAATTTCAAGTGCATGGATAGTGATATGTTTTTCGAGAAGAAAACTTAAGCCAGGAAGGACTTGAGGAAGTGAAAGAGCTATGTTGTAATTTTACATCTGAGGCTCAGGAAATGTCCATGCAAGAGAGTGAGGTTTTAATCAGGACCAGCGTGAGATGGGTAGGTGTCCACATGGTTTGAGCAATGGAGTGGTGTGATCTGACTTGCTTGGTGAGAGGAACACCCTAGGGGTACATGGAGAATAAATAATTAGATAAAATAGAAAGAGTAGGAGTGAAGGTGGGAGACCAGCTGACAAAGATGGTGGGGCACCAGCCAGGATGGTCGTAGGGAGGGTGACATTGATTGGTTGTGGAGTATGAGACGAGGAAGGCCCCCAGCTTTGGGCCACTAAAAACTCCAAGTAGTGACATAATTGCATGTACAGGTCTGGCATTAAGAGGAGAGGTCTGGACAACAGATACTGCTGTAGGAGTCTTCAACCAACCTTATAGTTTGTATTTAAAGCGAAGATGCTGGTGAGAACACCGAAGTGAATGAATAAAAATAGAAAGAGGGCAAAAACTGAGACCAGGAACAATCCAATGTTAATAAGTTGGAAAATGAGGAGAAATAAGCAGGGAAAAATTAAACTCCCCTGAATGAACTGTCTAGGGCAATCTTCAGTATCTGTTCTCAATAGAAAGGCATGAGCATAACCAGATTTCTGCTATATACTCAAGGCTCATCATGTTTATACACTTACTGTTTCTTTTTTATCCTTTTTAAAAAATATTTTATTTATTTATTTTTAGGGAGAGGGGAAGGGAGGGAGAAAGAGAGGGAGAGAAACATCAATTAGTGGTTGCCTCTCATGTGCCCCCAACTGGGGACCTAGCTCAAAACTCAGGCATGTGCCCTGACTGGGAATTGAACAGGTGACACTTTGGTTCACAAGGTGGCACCCATTCCACTGAGCCACAGCACCCAGGGCACATTTACTGTTTCTTGAGCTCTCAAGAACCTGCTTCTGTCTCTACCATAAGACAAAACAGCTCAAATTCCATGTAGAGGTTATGGATATCCTTGCATGCCTTGAAAATCTTTTTTGTCTGCCATGACTCTGACTTGTCTTTCTACAGTAGTGTCAGAGCCTCTTCTCTACTTTTAATACTGATTCTTCTTCCTTTACTTGCCTGTTTAATATGGTTATTTTCAAATTTATGTCTTCCATATTATTTTCCTGAAAAATATTTTGTTTGATGTTTCTCTTTTATTCTTTGTTAAAGTGCTACATTTTGATGCTTGTTCATCATTGTTTTCCTTTCCTTTTGTTTTTTAATGCCTCTGGAATTCCCCCCTTTAATTGCCAACTCTCCATTGATACTACCCATGACACCTAGCTGGGATAGAGAAAAATGAGCTGAAGCCAAGAAATTGGAATAGAGTGGAAGGAATGGCTCTGAGGAAGTCAGAAGTTGCTGTGCAATCAGATAAGGGTCTCATGGGTGAGGATGAACTAGAGTAAAGCCCTGACCTCTGGCTGCAGTGACCATGCTTTGCTGGTATCTCTATATTACCTTTACACCTGACTGTACCATATGTGTCTCACTGGCCAAAGAGCAGAAATAAATGATTATAATAAACAGATGACATAGATTATATGCCAATACCCAAAAATCTAAAAACAGAAAAGTTAGGTTGATTTAGAAAATGTACCATTATAGCTAGTTGTATTATTAAAAAAACCCACAAAACATTTCTGAGCTGGATGAAAAATGGCATCCGAGCTGGAAATATATATATCACTGGTGATAATTTATAGGTTTTTGTTTTCCACATTAGAGCATAAGATCTTCTGTGGTTCTATTCAATATTCATTGATCTTGGGATTCTTGTGACTTGCACGGTGCTTGATGTAATGGTATGTAATAGGAATTTGTCGAACTGGCCTGAAAAATATTCTAATACTTACCTTTTTATTTCATGATGTGGCCTCTGGCATTCTAGAGCCATCTAAAAAGGAAGGAAGTGAGGGAGGGAGGGAGGGAAGAATTCTTTGTTTCTACCAAGAAAAGTCCTTTAAGCTAAGAAGGCCCTGTGGGTTCTAAGGTGCAAATTTATTGAAAGATACATGTGGAGCTTCTGAGAGAGTATATGACTAAAAATAACACTCACTTTGATTTATTGAGGCCAAAGTTAGACCACTGTATTATAATCTTGGATTTGCTATTTTCTTTTCTCTTTAAAATAATAAGTCATTTAAGTTTTCTATAAGAAGTATTTATATCAGCTTTAACAAAAGTTTATAGTGTATATATATTTAAAGGGCTAAATGTGCAGGCAGTGATCTGAGAAATATCCCAAAAAACAATTTGAGGAATCAAATTGTATTCTGTATTGCTGAAGCACATGAAAAATCCCCATTTTTCCATGTTAACTAACAGTCAAATTGCTTGAGGCAAATATTGCAGAGAGAGTTCCTAACTCTCCACCCACACTGGGGATACATATTGAAGAGTGATTCTCAGAAAGGAATGGGTGTTTGGAAATGTGTAGGGATGAAGTTCCTGGACTTTTCGCAGGCAGGAAGCAATGGTGTAATGGTTAAGAGACATTATTGACATGTAGTGGGTGCAGCCGGGGGTGATAAACATGCTGTACGATGAAGACAGTCCTTTGCTAAAAAGAATTGTCCCAACCAAAATTCTAGTCATGTTCTCCTGAGGACTCCACTGGGGCATGCCCCCCGCTAGTTGCCAGGTGACCTGACGAAAGGAAAACGAACGCTGATTTAGAACAGGTTAGAGTGAGTGGCAGTGTCTCAATGGTGTCACATAGTCACCAGCCCCAACACTTGGTTCATGCTCAAGGAAGGCATGAAAAGAATGAGCGTAGAATGGGGGGGAGTCTGAATAAAGGACAAAATTTACTTACGAAGAAATTCTCTATCAGAAAAGCATACCATTTTCATCCCCCTGCCTCAAAATATCCATTTTGTTTAAAAAATAAAACCAAAACCAAAATAATATATGAGACTAATACCATATAAAACACAAATCAGTTCATTCAACAAATATTTTTAAGTATATTTTACATTCCAGGTTGCTTTATGCTCTAGTAATAAATATGTAACAAAATAAAATATGGTCCCTCCTTTTAGGTACCTCAGAGTCTAGAGAGATTTATCAGGCTCAAAAGTTTTCATCTTTGCTTTTAAGCTTTTATTTATTTATTTATAGAAAAGGAAAGGGAAGGAGAAAGAGAGGGAAAGAAATATCAGTGTGTGGTTGTCCCTCACATGTCCCCAACTGGGGACCTGGCCTGCAATCCAGGCTCGTACCCTGACTTGGAATCGAACCACTGACCCTTTGGTACATAGGCCCGTGCTCAATCCACTGAGCTACACCAGCCTGGGCAAGGTTTCATCTTTTTTTACAACAATAATCCCATCTAGAAGATGGAGTAATGTAACAGATGTTTACTTTGTATTTAAGTGAAAATGGAGTCACACTAACTCAAATAGTAAGACCAAAGCCGTAGTCAAACACATTGAGAAGGGCCAGTGAGCAGCCTGAAAGAAGAGATTTCTAGTTATGTAGTAGATGTATCTGAATGCATGCTTTGTGAGCCCCTTTTTTATAAACTAAATTCAAAGTTAAAAAGCTTTGCCACATAGTCCTCAGTGCCTTGACTCATAGTTTTAAAAATTAATTTTGCTAAGCTTTATTGTGATCCCAGTTTTTAAAGTGGTTTGTTCATTTGTTTTGCTTGGCCAGTGAAACTGTCATCCAGTTCAAGTAAGAGAGTGAATGAAAAGGGGGCAGGTGCCAGGGGACTCTGGGTCTGAATTATCCAAGTGAATTTCCTTGAATGATCAATTTTCCAAGGTAATTTCTCATACTTTGCCTTTACCTAAGAGAAGAGTCTGTAGATTTTATACCCCCCTCCCACTTCCTTCCTCCACCACAGACAAATCATTTAAGAACACACTCTAGTCAGATCAACAGGATATAAGGAAACTAAGACCAATTCACAAATTGATGCATGAACAAAGATTGTCACTGCAATACAAAGAATTTCCTTGGTAATATATTTAAAAAAAAAAAACATATATCGGCCGGTGTCCAGGTCTTGCAAATACCCCTGCCCAAATGTTTGCATGTGAATGATGGGCTTCATTTTCTGGACAAGCTATGAATTCCGTGCTCTGGAGCTTCCAGTACTCTTGCCTCAATGTGGCTGGCCGTGCTAAATCCGCAACTCAGCGTTAAAGAAAACAAGAAATGATGAGAAGATGTTGGTGTTATTCTGAGTTTACCAACCAAATGATGTCTCCAAGATAACATCACATCATTTCTTTTTTTAAAGATTTATTTATTTAGTTTCAGAGAGGGAAGAGAGGGAGAAAGAGAGAGAGAGAGAGAGAAACATCAATGTGCGGTTGCTGGGGGCCGTGGCCTGCAACCCAGGCATGTGCCCTGCTGGGAACCGAACCTGCGATGCTTTGGTTCGCAGCCTAGGCTCAATCCACTGAGCTATGCCAGCCAGGGCCACATCACATCATTTCTTTTCATGGAAAATGTTCCTCAGCTGTGAGTGCCCACACAGGAAGCTGCAGCATTTCTAGAGAATTTGGTGGAATTGCACATTCTTGGTTCTCCCACCCCAAACACTGAAAATCCTGGGGATTAAAGCCCATCAATCTATCTTTTAATCAAGGCTCTCAAATGATTCTGATGCATCTTAAAGAGATACAGGCATGCATTTTGTCATAAAACATAGATTGTGCCTAAAAAGCTGCAAGGACATATTTGTGATGCTGCCAATGTATAATGAGGAGTCATGAGAAGTAAATAAATACATACAAATGAGAAAGGGAAAAGAAAACTAAGTTTGTCCCGTGATTCCTAATCTGGTGACTAGATTTTATCTCCCCCGAGTGACAAACAGATGCCTTGGCAAGAGAGAAACTGGCTCACGAAGATCTGATAAAAGACCACAGGAAATATTTGCTTCCAGTTTTGCACAACTCTCTGTTCTAAGGGAAATTATTTTTTCACTTCAGCTAAACAGTTGTTTTCTGACACTTGGAAAAATAGTTTTTATAGCTAAAAATGAAAGCTATCTCTCACTCTCAACAAACATACACATACCAACCGATACACATTTGTACCTGGAGAGAGAGATGAGTCGTTTCTATGTAAGTCTGTCTTTTCCTGTTACAAGGAAAACTTATGGGTAGGTATTACTATAATATCTTAACATAGATAGTAGATATATACATTTAGTTCATTGTGTTCCTTGGTCAAATTAAATTTTAATTATAAAATTCATTTGGAAACATTGGACCAAAGGGTCCTAGCCATTTTATGTGTAACTGATACATTTTTCCGTGTGTTTGGCAGAAATATGGCAAAGTGGAATACCCTTCCTGATGAACTGGAGGACAATGACAGCTTTTCAGAATCTGTGAAGTTTGATGCTCGATCAATGACAACTTTGCTACCTCTGAGTAAGTAGGAGGAGGATGGGATGCCCAGGGAGGTTACCCTTAGAGTTACTGACATGTAAAATTGCAGTCTTGAGACTTATCCGAAATGTGTATGAATGTTAAACTAATACTTACTGGATAAGTAGGCCTTTCTCTGGCTTGAGAGAGAATGCAATGTAAGCTTAAATTGAAGTAAGGAAACATTATAGTAGATTAAATTAGTCCACAACATTGGTTGAGTTCTCTGATTTCCCAGCCACTGGACTAGGTCCTGGAGATGACTATAAACCTGGCACCATGGATTAATCTTTGAAAATCACGGATGGTAGGCGCTTGTATTAGTTTCCTGGGGCTGCTATAACCAATGATCACAAATGAGTGGCTTAAAACAACAGACGTTTATTCTCTCACACTTCCGAAGGCCGGAAGTCTGGGGTCCAGCTGTCGGCAAGGCCATACTCCCTTTGAAGGCTCTCAGCTAAGAATCCTTTCTTGCCTCTTTCTAGCTTCTAGTGGCTCCTGGTAACGCTTGGCTCTGTACCTTGTTTGCGACTCCATTTTCACACGGTCTTCTCCCCTGGTGTCTTCATGTCCTCTTCTGTAGGACATCAGTCAGTGGGTCAGGGCCCATCCTAATCCACTATGACCTCATTTTTAACTTGATTATCTCTGCAAAGACAATCTTTCCAGATAAGTTCACATTCATAGATACCCAATGTTTTCACCAATATCTTTTTGAGAAACACAATTCAGTACATAACAGTGCTGAAACAGGTGTTTGTACAGGTTACCACAAGACCTCAGATTATAGTATTTGGCTTTATCTGGGCAGGTCGTTTTAAGGTGTCGAAGACAGAGGTGCTTTAACTCTGCTTAACCCCTTAAGTATATTTTACCAGGGGATGGGGGCGGGCGGGTAGGGAAGAAGTCAAAGAGATATTTCAGTCAGAGGAGGCAGCAAATGCAAAGTTATAGGATCTTACATGCATTCTTACATAGAAAATCCTGAAATACAGACCACAACTCCAAGGCATGATGGATCTTGCACGCTGTGTTAGCAATAGAGGGGAGGACGTGGCCCCAATGAGACAAGGAGAAAAGATAACAATAAAGCTTGTAAAGGTGGAGATGTTGAGAGATGGGGGAAGGAGAACGGAGTCATTGGGAACAGAAGAAAAAGCAAACCACACACATACACACAATTTTTGAGAGCTTCCAAAAGGCAGCACGCAGAGGAGTTGTGATCGGCAATTGGAGAAAAAGGCGGAGAGGACTCCGGGTTTCAGGCTTAGTCAGCCTGGCAGGTAGAACAGCCCATCTCACCAGCATTGCGGGTTATGCTTTTTCTGTTTCCTTAGATCTTTCCTTGTTTTTCCCTTTTCTTTCGCTCTTAAAAAATTTCTGTCCTTTTCCCTCCATTTCCTCATAGACTATTATTAAACAATGTCTGAATTCTTGCTTTTAGTTTTGGAGTTAGTTGAAGGATTGTATTTTTTCACCCAGAATATATTCCCCTATGAAACAGAAGAATAAATGTGTTCACACATGCTGGTATTAATATTAAAATTTATCAACTAATGCTCCAAAATGAGACGAGCTCAGCATGTAGAGAATAGTCCATTTTCCGTGGATGCTTAGTGAATGGGTGAGTAAATCAAATGTCCACAGTGAGGGGTGTATTGGTTTGTTTGTGATTATTCCTTTTGCTTCCTCCTGAATAAACAAGGACCAGTTTTTCTCCTTTTTATTTCCATAGGCTTCGTACTAACCATATAACTGCAGATTGCAAAAATTTCAATGAAATCAGAAGACTCAGTTTTCTAATTGAGGTTGTGCTTTTGTTTTTTAGATCCTAAAAATGGCTCTACCCTTCAAGAGAAACTGAAGTCCTTCAAAGCGGCACTGATTGCCCTTTACCTCTTCGTGTTTGTAGTTCTCATACCTGTCATTGGGATAGTGGCAGGTACAGTATTCGAGAGTTCTGAAACCCAGCAGCGCATCATGTGTGTTAGTTACTCTAGAAGCAAAAAGCAGTGTTTGGTCTTTTGTGTGCGGAAGATTCATCAGGTGAACTTCATAGGACAACTTGTCACTCAAGTTTATTAAATGAGAAGACAGAGTCTTCAAAGTTGTTAAGTGAAGAAATAGAAAAAATGAAGTAGAATAGAAAAATGAAAGATTAAGATAGAAATATAACTGTAGAAAGAATTGACATTTTCAAACATATATTATCATCTGAAGTCCTATATACATCTAGTGGTGGGTCACTATTTTCATGATAAGTATCCTTGTTGCCCGTGTTAAATTATGAATATGATTACTTACATTAACAATGCCTAAAATATAAAAACAAGCCAGGTGAGATAAAGTTCCTCTACTGCTGGTAGTGAGGGCAAAAAGGAATATTCTTCTAAGTATTTTAAAAGAAAATAATGGTCTATACTTCATGAATATCTTTAAAGTTTATATGGTTACCTGTTTCATAAAGCCATTTTAAAAAGATATCTCTAAAAATAACCTAGTAGTATCCTCTCAAAGGACACATCAGACCACTGTTCTTGGGCTCCAACATGATGCTTTCCAGGTGTATGCGTGTCTTTGGAGGGTCTGACCAGAACTGGGGATCGATCTGAGGGCTTTTTCAGGGGTGGCTTGCATACAGCTCAGTCAGACCTGTGAGTGTTAGTCCCCTCAGTAGCATTTTTGATGTGCCTGCTTGGTGTCTGAGTGTATATGCCTTGTAGCTCTCCTTTCTGGATGACTGGCAAAATGGACATATGCTCTAATAAGAGATAGGCTGGGAGTATGACATTTTGATGTGCCTATTAATCAGCTTAACAAGAAATTATTCCTAAGCACAAGGCCAAACCTCCTCAGCTAAGAGGCAATCTAAAGGAATATTCCAAAGCAAAGCAAAAATTCTGCTAAAAAAGAAATGATGACAAAACAACCACAAGGGTAACAGTAGCTATCGTTTTGAGCACTTGCTGTGTTCAGACATGGGGCTCTACCCTTGTCACAGATCATCCAGATACACCTTTCAGGTCAGCCCGGGGCAGACATGTGCCCATGCTCATTGTCCACAGAAGGAAACGGAGACTCTTCAGTAGTGGAGCCGGAGTTGCCCACCCGTGACACTGGACTCCTAACCTGGGCGGTCTGCTATCTCCCAGTGTAACTGGGTTTTTAGCACAAAATATGCTTGAACAATTAAGAAAAAACAGAGTTGCCATAATTTTAGCCAGGAAAATATGTTCCACAGGTGAAGATTGGCTCCTATTTTGGCCACTATAAACAAAAGAAAAAAGAAAAATCAACCACGACAAACTAAACCAGTGAGCCAGTCAAACCAAACACAGCCATCTAAGTAGAAAAAGCTGATAAATCTGTCACGAAATTAACTTCCCGATGCACTGAGGTTCTCTCTACATTGTTTATGTACATGCTTATCTGTGGTTTGAAAGACGTAACTGAAAGATATTTTATTGTTTGTGTTTATTAGCTATAAGGCAGTTACAGTTTGGGTGAATTTCATCACCTTTATATAAACCATGGTCTGCAGAGCCCACCCAGGAATGCAACTTCTTTCTAATAAGCTCTGCAGAATATCTGTAAAGGATGTGGGGTTCTAACCAAGTTCAAAATCTCCGACCTATTAGAAAATACTATCATGTCAGCACATCTGTTTTAGGGTTGACAGTGATTGATCTGAAGTGGTTTCATTTACTAAAACTACAGCAGGTATCCACGAAGACTGACAAGAAGTTAAAAATGTTCAAATCAAGTAAGTTCATGTTAGCACCCGAATTCATCCCAAGTTGAAATAGATCTTACTGTGTCCGTCACACTTGAGTAATAGACAACTGACAGTCCACTTACAACTTTAATTAAGTGGTAGATCAGAGTATTTTCCAGAAAAGGAACCAAAATTCAATACATAATCACTACTTGCTATCAAAAAGTTGCAATTATAGAAAAAAAATATCCCTAAAATGATAATAATCACTTTGTTTTGGCAAGTGTGAGCTGGTGGGTAAAGTGAAATGTTGTACATAAAAAGTCTACTTAAACCTGAATGTCATATTCGTAGAAAGATGTTTCTGAATTATAAAATCTACTTCATATGCTGCGTCTTCCTAAAGGAGCTACTGGATCGCTGGTGTAGTGTAACAACATGATTATGTCTCTGGACAATAAAATATAATTTAGTATTAGTCTATATAAATTGTTACGGAAATACTGAAGATTCTTCAGCTCAAGATAACACAGACTTTTGTAGGAGAAGATACTGCCGACACGACAGAGTACTGGTGGTCTATAGAATCAAATGTAACTCTCTCCCTAGGTCCTTGCTCAAGCCATAAAACTTGCTTCCGTTCAAATGTGACAAAGTCAAAAAATGCCGTCTGTCCAATGATGGTGGGAGAAATAAGTACTTGAAAATAGAAACCCTGGCATTCTTTACCTAGGTTTATGAGACAGAGTTAAACATTTTTAATGGAAGCAAGGACAACATTGGTTTTCATTCAGAATTTGGGAAAATAAGCACTGTTGTGTTTTTCAATCTATAAATAAAATGTTACCTTTGTTGTCAATTCATGTTGAAACTGATGTCAAACAAAAACCCTTGATCATATGGACCTTTTGTTAAATCAGGTCTCTCTTTTATACTATGAAAAAGGGCTGCTTTGCCAATATAAAATAGAAATGGATTCTAGTATAAGTAAAATTATATGGTTGAACAATCAGATCAATTTTCCTAGTAAAATAAAGCATACAAATTACTGTACTCATTGCAATACCAAACCTTCCCTCAATTTTTACATTATATAATATTAATTGCCCCATTATCAATCTTGTAAAAATGGATACATAAGTCATGGATAATGAATCCAAAATCTTAAAAATAACAAAAAAGCTGAAACTTATCAAATGCTTATTATGTGCCAGGAATTATTCACTTTACATATATTACAAGTGCTTACATTTAAGCACTTTACATATATTATTTCATTTAATTATTTAAATACTGACTATTATTCCATTTATACAGAGGTGAAATAGAAGCATTGACAGATTAACTTGCTCAAGATATAATTTATAAAGGGAAGAGCAAGAATTGCTAACCCAGGTAGTTCTAATCCAGAAACTGTATTCTTCATTTTTTTAAATTTTTATTTATTTCTTTTTAGAGAGAGGGGAAGGGAGGGAGAAAGAAAGGGAGAGAAACATCCATGTGAGAGAGAAACATCGATCAGTTGCCTCTCATGCGTCTCCAACTCCCTAACTGGGGACTGAACCTGCAGCCCAGGCATGTGCCCTGACCAGGAATCCAACCAGCAACCTTTCTTTTTGCGGTACGACTCCCAACCAGCTGAGCCACACCAATCAGGGCAGAACATGGATTCTTAACTCAAAAAAGGAATAATCAATATAAAAGGAAAAAATTTAAGGAACTACTTTGAGTTTCAGTCAGTCTTTCTGAGAGTTACTCGAAGTGTTTTATATTTAGTAGGTGCTTAATAAATAAATCACATAATTAATGAATGCATGAATGAGACTGCCCACCCCAAAACTGCTCCCACACTTAATAGATGTGATGAGATCCTACTAAGAAATCTTTTTGTCCAATTTGTTGATACATTAAGAAATATAAAATAATGAATAGTTAAAATGGTCTCTGTTGTGGATCACATCAAAATATAGTCACATGTGTTTTATTAATTCAAATAAACTAATTTTCAAGAGAATGTAACTAGGGACCCATAGTAAAATGTGTTTTTTAAAACTGGGATTTAATTGCATATATAGTTTCATACTTATTCTTAATATGATATTGTCTACAATAGCAACCACCATCAATGGCTTCTTTCACTAAAGGTGGTAAATGTGCCCTGGCTGGCATAGCTCAGTGGATTGAGCACGGACTGTGAACCAAAGCATTGCAGGTTCGATTCCCAGTCAGGGCACATGCCTGGGTTGCAGGCCACAGCCCCCAGCAACCACACATTGATGTTTCTCTCTCTCTCTCTTTCTCCCTCCCTTCCCTCTCTAAAAATAAATAAATAAAATCTTTTTAAAAAGTTGGTAAATGTTTCTTCTGCAAGACACTTAAATTTGAATCAAAGTTTAGTATGTGTCATCTGTGTGCTCTGGGATTTGCATGCTTTATCTCACTCACCCTCAGCACCGCTGTTGAGACAGGTGCTACTTGCAGATCTCGGAGGGAACCTAAGAAGGAGGAGATGAATAACTTGCCCGGAGTACCCCAGCTAACAGTGAGGAGCAGAGCTAGGTTCCAGGGTCAGGCAGCTTGACCTGGGCAAACACCACGGTCTCAAGTATGTCACAGGCACCCAGAGCTAAGGGTAGAAACTAAATGTTTCTTTTTTCATATGTTATCTCATTAATTCTTAAAATCCCATAAAGCTGGCACTATTGCTGTATCATTTTTACTCAGAAAACTGACAGTTCAGAAAAGGCTGATTATGTAGATGTATTTTTCAAATACAAGTATATGAAGTTATTCTTATTATTGCTTAATAATGGTGAAGTATAAAAATTTATACATTTAAACAAATATGAATAAGAGACTGATGTATATGTAGATAAAAGGTATAAATAATGGAGGTAGAGATATGAAAAGATAACAAAATCTTATCCATCACTGGTTAGAGGTAAAATAGTGTTTAAAGTTTTCTGTATTGTGTATAATTATGCATTATTTTTATCTGCAAAGTTAATGTTTATTCCTTTTGTTTTTTTAAACTGTAAATATATTGTTCTAGATGCTTTCAGAAGGATAATTAGCTTGTTTAGAGAATGTATATCTATTTGGAAATATATATCCACAGCTTTGTATGTCCCAAATCACCTAATAGAACTTTTTTCTTCGGGAAATAATTATTCACAAGATTGTTTATCAAAACACTGAATATATTAGTGAGAACAGAAACAATCTAATGTAAGGGGTTTGTTAAATAAATTGGGTAGATCCATATATGGGATACAATGCAGTTCTTAAAATTCTTTTTATAAAACAATTCTAAATACTATGCAAAAGTCTTTATAATATAGTATTAATTTAGGGTACTTTCCAGATTCCATATAAAATGTAACCTCGCTCTTACAGTAATAATGTGGCAGTGAAAGCAGAGAAACATAGTTGACATACGTACTCTGAACCGTGAGCTTTGAACTTGGAATGAAGGTTTTACTCATAAATTATATTTTCTAATTATTCATCTTTTCTACATTTTCTACTATGAACATATATTTCATAGTAAGCAAAGAGGAATCTTATAAAAATAATACTTTCTAAAGTAAGAATATTATTTGCCCAAATTTTTGCTCCCCCAGCTATAAATTAGACCTGTGTAGACTGAGCGTGACAGTTCTCTGCCAGCTGAAGGATAGGGCGAGGAAGGGGAAACACACAACTTACTCGTACAGTGGATAACGCCCATACTTCTGCTTTTACTACTTATTTTGTCACCGCCGCCATTTGTCTTGATAATAACTAACATATTCAACATGCTGACTTCTGATACTCTGTTCCACATTATCTCATTCTATCCTAACAACAGACCCTGCCACAGTGCACTTCATAGACTGTAGGATCTCTCTTACTGGGAAAAATCAAATGCAATGGTCCAAAAGATTCTCTCTCTCTTTTTTTTTGTAAAGATTTTACTTACTTATTTTTAGAGAGAAGGGAAGGGAGGGAGAAAGAGAGGGAGAGAAACGTCAATGTGTGGTTGCCTCTCACACTCACCCTACTGGGGACCTGGCCTGCAACCCAGGCATGTGCCCTGATTAGGAATCGAACCAGCGACCTTTTGATTTGCACTCAATCCACTGAGCCACACCAGCCAGGGCTCAAAAAGATTCTTATAAACAGGACTTGGGGAAGAATGGCTTAATCCTGGAATAACTTCTAGTGTAAAGTGTGAAAAGGAGACTGTCACTCTTTCAGCAATGTGCCTACTGTGGTTCCTACATTGTCTATTCAAAATAAATACCTGATTTAGGTTAGCATTCAGGTTGTTAGAATGGAATGGAAAGGCATGATTCAGAATGGAATGATACAGAAAGCATGTAGGGAGACAGGTATATGCGTTTAAGGAGACAGATCATGACTCTGCTTGTTTTTGCTTCAATGTGCAGCTCAGCTCCTAAAGTGGGAATGGAAGAATTGCACAGTTGGTTCCATTAATATCAATGATACTCCTCAGCATCTCAATGGGAAAGGAAATGATAGTGAAGAAATAAAATTTCGAGAATTTGTCACAGAAAACATGAACAAAATGGAGAAGAGAATCCAGTATATTTCAGATGCACAAGCCAATCTCATAGATTCAGAGCGTTTCCAAAACTTCAGTGTGATGACTGATCAAAGATTTAATGATGTTCTTGTCCAGCTGAGTACTGCAGTTTCCTCTGCCCAGGAACATGGAAATGAAATAGATGAAATCTCCAAGTCATTAATAAGTCTGAATACCACGTTGCTTGCTTTGCAGCTCAGTATTGAAACACTGAATGGCAAAGTCCAAGAGAGTAAAACTAAACAAAAAGAGGTAAGAGCTTTTGTATTGGAAGGTCACAAGTTGACATTGAATTCAGTCAGATCCTATCTCCTCTGATATCAGAAAAACAAACATTGCAAATTGTGTTTGAACATCATCCTACCTACCCTGATTCTTTTGATAATCTTACCAGAAGGTCTCAAGCACCTAGTTCCTTTTCTGGATTCCCAGCAAAATGAATATATATTTCCATCCCCTGCCATTGGATATAGTCTCTCTTAAGGTATTTCCTATGAAAAACAAACATATGACTAAAACTTTACTACTTTTGAAAAATAATCTTTTTATTATAAAATATGTAAGACCTAAGATTATAAGTAATGTGAAGCCTATCAAATTTCCATCATTACCTTAAAAATCTGGCATCTTTGTAGTAGGTTTTACTGGATGACCCGTTCTTAATGAGCAAAGCAAAGATTAATTAATTAGAAGGCAAAGGGAAGCCTCTAAAGTTACAACATCAGATGAAAACCGACTGAATTATTAACTAGACAATAGACTAAACAGGTTAATAAAGATTATCCTACAAGTTTGTAATTGTAATTGTAAGTAATTGTAACTACAAGTATTTGTAAGGCGCAATTACTCAGAACTTTTGAATTTTTACTTGGTCCCTATCTTAAGGTGATATTTAAAGACAATGACATTGCTATCTAAATATGGGGACTCTGTGAACCTCACTCCAAAACCAACCTTAATATTCTGTTTTTCTTCCACATCATGTTTTCCCAAATCTGGCTGTCGATGTTTCCTGCATGGTTAATGAGCATCCAACCCTAACACGCAGTATCGGGGTATCAGGGGCCTGGGCCATGGACCGGCTCGAGACAATGTGCTAAGTAGAAACTGTCATAGGATTCAAGAGCACGGGAGACAGAGGAAAATAAAATGTCCGTGTTTGGAGTAAAAGTGATTAAGTTGGAGGGAAAGGGAGAGAGAAATATTACTTTATGTAAAAACAGGATTAGAGAAGCAATGAGACAAGTGAAGAGAAATATACACAATATAGAACAACAAGGACATGTTTGATTCTGGCCCCAGTCCAGCAGAGTCTACTGAAATATTTATGAACCCACATAAATGAAGAGTTGAAACCAAATTGGAAATGTGGTAATGAATGGTGGTAATCAACATCTGGTGATCGGTGAACTGTCGGAGTTTGCACTTGTTCTTTGGAGCAGGGGGATGTGTTCTGCAAACATTTATGTTCACTCTTTATGTTGCCCATATCGTGTGGAAGGACACTTGCCCGGCAGTCAGGGCAGGAGGAAGGAGAGAGCAGTGATCCCCTAACCTAGAACAGGGCTCTGGGCGAGGGAAGGCACGCGATGAGCAGTGAATACCAAAAGCCTCCGGGCTTGAGTAAGTGCCTTCGAACAGGCCAATCTGGGTGAACGTTCACGTCTGGCCAAAGGTTTCACACCCTCACTGCCTTGACCCTCTCACCTCGCCGTGTCCCCTCCAGTCAGGGGAAGTGTAGTTTTCACTTCATACCCAGGTTAAGCAATAGATGTACTACTGGTTCATTTCTATGTGCAAATGGGAAATGAGACTCTATCAACTGTGAAACATAGAAGTACTTAGAAAAGCATAAATCATACCATGAAACCAGAACAAGCACTAAAATGTAACACAAAGAAACAGAAAACATTGCCAGGATAGATGAAAAGGTTTGGTACATCAAAAAGGGAAAGGCCAATACCCAAAGCAAAACCAAGCAAAGGACTTGAAAGAAAAAATAGCCAAGAAAAATACCATCAAAAAGTTTGACTTGGTAATTAACCTTATCATAGTTCGAAAACCAAATGGAGTAACAAGTATTATGTGTCTACTCTTATTCTGCAAACTTCAATATGTTGATGGTGCCTAGCATTTGGGTTCAAAAAGTAGGCACTAATGTACAATTAGGAAGATTTTAAAGTGGCGCTATGTATTTGGAAGGCAGTGTGAGAGTACTGAGCAAAAATTGTAATATTTAGTCCTTTGGTCAGATTCACTTTCGAGAAGCTGTCCTATAGACATACTATGTTTACTATGTAAAAATATGTATAAAACGGTGTCCATTATAGCATTATTTAAAGTTGTAAAATATGTACAGCTCAAAACTCCATCAATAGGAATCAAATTATAAAAACATATGCCGTATACACCCACTAAATTATTAAAAATAAGGTAGCCTCTAAGTGTTTTGATAGGTAAATATATTATTTTTATATATAATAATACAAAGGTATTTATTTAATATTTAAATAAATACCTTTGGCATTTGGGAGGGGCCAAAGAACTAGACAAATGACCCACATCATTCCACAGACTCGTCCATACTGGGCACATACACCCAGGAGTAGATCCAGGTTTTGAGGGACAATCCTTAAGAAAAAATAATGCAAAATTATAAACAGAAAATTAGGCACAAAAGTAAATACTTAGAATAAGGGAAAAAGCAAACATTTTCTCTTTTAAAAATTGAAAAATATCATAAACATTATAAAATGGAGAAATATTACATAATATTTTAATTATTTGCCTGGCATACCACTACAATATTTTTTTTCTATTTCATGCTTTGTAATTGAATTTATTGGCATAACATTGGTTTGCAAAACCATACAGGATTCAAGTACACGACAACTCATCAAACTCATTAAAACGTCATTGGCACACGGCATCATGTGATCATGTGCCCATCACCCCCAAGCAAACTCTCCCCGCTCTTTGCCCACCTCCACCTAGTCCCCTTCCCTCTTTCTCTCTGGCTGTCATACAATTGTCTGTGTCTGTGTGCCATGTATGCATGTTTTATGGCTAATCCTTTCACCTTCTTTCATCCAGTCCCCCTCCCACCTCTGACGGCTGTCAGTCTGTTCCATGTATGTGTTCATGCCAGTGTTTCTGTTTTGTTTGTCAGTTTATTTTGTTCATTAGACTTCACATGTGAATGAGATAATACGCTATTTGTCTTCCTCTGACTGGCTTATTCCACTTAGCATAATAATCTCCAGGTCAAACCATGCTGTTGCAAAAGGTAAGATTTTCTTATTTTTTTAGGGCCTACTGGTATTCCATTGTGTAAATGCACCACAGCCTTTTTATCCACTCATTTACCGCTGGGCACTTGGGCTGTTTCCAGATCTTGGCTATTGTAAACAACGCTGCTATGAACATAGGCATGCCTGTATTCTTTCAAATTAGTGTTTCGGGATTATTTGGGCATATTCCTAGAAGTGGATTCACTGGGTCAAAAGGCAGTTCTATTTTTATTTTTGTGAGGAAACTCCACACTGTTTTTCAGAGTGATTGCTTCAGTCTGCATCCCCACCAACAGTGCAGTAGGGTTCCCTTTTCTCCACATTCTCTCGAGCCCTTGTTTGTAGACCTATTAATGATATCTCATTGTGGTTTTAATTTTCATCTTTTTCATGGCTAGTGACGCTGAGCATTTATCCATATGTCTACTGGCCATCTGTGTGTCTTCTTTGGAGACTGTCTGTTCAGGTCCTTTGCCCCTTTTTTAATTGGATTGTTTGTCTTCTGGTGTTGAGTTGTGTGCATTCTGTGTATGCTGGGAATTAACCCCTTATCAGATGTATCACAGGTGAGTAGGTTCTCCCACACGGTGGTTTCCCTTTTCATTTTGTTGATGCTTTCTTTTGCTGTGCAGAAGCTTTTCAGCTTAATGTAGTCCCATTTGTTTATTTTTTCCTTTGTTTCCCTTGCCCTAGGAGATATATCAGCAAAAATATTGCCACAAGAGGTGTCTGATATTATACTGCCTGTGTTTTCTTCTAGGATTTTTATGGTTTTGTGACTTACATTTTAAGTCTTTTATTCCCTCTGAGTTTATTCTTGTGTAAGTTATAAATTGGTGGTCTAGTTTTCATTTTTTTTTGCATGTACCTGTCCGATTTTCCTGACACCATTTACTGAAGGGACTATTTTTACTCCATTATATTCCCTCACCTCCTTTGTCAAATATTGATTGACCATAAAGTTGTAGGTTTCTTTCTGGGCTCTCTGTTCTATTCCATTGGTCTATATGCCTGTTCTTATGCCAGTACCACACTGTTTTTATTATAATGGCCTTGTATTAATAGTTTGGTATCAAGTATTGTGTATTCTTAATATATTGTAGAGGAAAAATTAAAAGCATGACCCAGATCAAATAAGTAGGGTATCTCTTGTTCATAGTCTCTCCATATATGTATGCAGGTATAAAAATGTACACAAAATACATATAATTATAATCGAAAACAAACAATAAAACCTCAAATACAGAGGCAATAAAAATTAAAAGATATTGTTAATGTGCTAGTTGAGATTGTATTGAATATGAAAAGCTATCCTGAATGTCAATTACCACTGAGAAATATGGCATTCAACATTTTTATTGCTGTAAAACAGTTTGATATTTAAATCTACCAAATTCACAGAACTGGAACAGTATGTTTCTACTATTAGTATAATATACAAAGTTTTACATCAGATGAATTAGAAACAATACAAGTTTTTAAAAATGTATTAGCATTTTGACATCTTTATATTTGGGAATAGAAGAATACCTTAATATATTCAACTAATTGAAAGGGGGCACCACAGAGGATGTGAAATTTCAGCCATTCAGTCAGAGACGAAATGCTTCAAAACCAAAGAATTACTATCTTAAACAGTTCTCTAATTTTTGTATTCTTTTCCCATAATATTCTTGTAACAGTATGTGGATTTTTTAACATGGATTTCAGGGTTTTTTAAAGCTACATATTTCGTAAATAATTGTGTAACAAAAATTGCGATGCTTGCCTATGTTTCACAGGAGTTGAGTGAATTAGAAGAGCGTGTGTACAATGCGTCAGCAGAAATTATGTCTATGAAAGAAAAATATGCATACTTGGAACAGGAAATAAAAGGGGAAGTGAAAATATTGAATAACATCACTAATGACCTCAGGCTGAAAGACTGGGAACATTCTCAGACACTGAAAAATATCACTTTAATTCAAGGTAAAATATCTTTTCCTTCTTCCAGAAAATGACATATGAAAAGGTACTGATATACACTGAGATCTGGTCTTCTAGATCCTGTGACTTAAAATAGTTTTGAGCACATATTTACTACAATTACCTAGAGGAAGAAATCTTCAGATCATATTAAGACACTGTATGCTAACAGTATCCTGGTGTTCTTTTAGTAGAAAGGGACTTAAAAAGGTGAAATTTCTCTTAATGTCTAATAAGTCATTAATCCAAGTATCCCATATTGCTGAAGACCAAAAGAGATTTTCTGTAAGTTGCAAAGTTCTCTACCTGTTAAAAAAAATCAGGCTTGTTAATTCTCTTTTCCAAAACTTCCAGATTCTTTCTTATGTTTTACACTATTTTATTATTAATTCAAAAAGACTTTGAGTTCTCCTAAACAAATGAATTTGTCAAATACTTCTGTATTGTTTGTGAAACAAGTTGACTTGAATATTACTGATTTTCGAATTAATACATATACCATACATATTTCACACTAGCTTCTAGTTCCTTATATTTTTAGTATTTTCCATACTTACTTTCAGCCTTTTGGTATCCTTCTGTTTAGGGTTGTCTCTTGTAAAGAACAGGTTTCAGAAGATTGTATATAGTACGTTTTCTTTACAGTGCCCACAATTTAGTAAAATTAAATAATATATATTTACAGATATATACATTATAATAAGAATGATTGTTTTTAAAATGCAAGGAAATGAGGTACACAAAATTCATATTAATGTTGATCTCTGAAAAGAAAGTGAATGAATGAAACTTGCGGGTACCTAGGTAGATACCTATTTGGGGGGTTGTGATATGGCAGGGATGTTCTCTCTGTTATTGTGATTTATAGCTTACTCATGGCAAACACATTATATGTATCCTTTAATTATTACATTAAAACAGATGAGAAAGACAAATTTGAGCTAATCAGGTTCTTGATAACAATTAGACAGCTCCACGTTAGATTTCAAATAAAGATCCCAAACTTTACCGATCCAAAACCAAATGCTCGAGCACCTCATACCCATCTACCCTTAAATCTGTTACTTCCCCAATCTTATCTGTTCATTGTATCACTGTCTAATTTGTTACTCACTCCATCTTGAAAGCTGTCTTTGACCTTTCTCTTTTTCTCATTCTCTACAACTAATCCATCTATGAGTCCTGTTAACTCTTCTTGCCTATGATATTTATAATAAAACTCATTTCGTTATCTCCTCTGCTGCTATTCTCATTTAAGCACCTGCATTCCAGTTTAATGTAATACATCAACTTCCCAATTGTTCTCCCTGATTCTACTTTTAGTCCATTCTACATAATACAGAGCAAAAGGATGCTATCAAAAACATAATTAGGTTTCTTCTCTCTCAAGCTTAAGACCCTCTGATATCTTCCTATTAGGTGTGGAAGAAAATCTAAACTCCTGCTGAGTCTGGTATCCAGCCACTTACTTGCCCTCATTTTCCAATTTGCCCTTGGCAAACCCTCTGTCTAGCTTGGACATCTGAAAGAATGATGGCGTTGCTGTCCAGCGTGTGCAGTAGAGCCCTTCTGTCTGTCTTGAAATGTTCTTCTCTTACATCTCTAGTCCTTCCTCGCTCTACTCAAAGTCATCCTTTTACAGATCATTTTTCCCTCTCCCGTTCTTATTCTTCTCCCTGTCTCTCTGTCATCATTTGCTTTAACTTCCTCACAGCACTTACTGCTGCAGGAAATGGTTTCCCATGTTCAGTTGCTTATTTGTTTACATATGTCTTCCCCAATGGAATGTGAGCTCCAGGGAGTTGGATCTCGTCAACGCTGGACTACCTGTCCACACACGGGCCCCGTTAGAGCACCTGATATGTAGTGGGTGAGCAATTACATATGTGTTGAATGAAGAAGGGAAGCCAGTACTTTTATTTCTTCTTATTCTTAGTACTTTCTTGTTAAGTTACCCTTTGTAATTGGCAGTATCATCCCTCCAGGTTTCCAGGAAGAAAATGTAATTGTTTTCATTCTTTCTCCCAAGTTTATCATTAGTTCTTATATTCTATGGTCTCTGTCCCCTTGTCACTTCTTTATAGTCACGTGTAGGCTATTTTTATCACTGCTCTGCCCGACTATGGAAATAGTCTCCCAATCATTTCCTGCTTCAGTCTTTCCCACTACAAGCCTCTCTTTATTCTTCTCAGAATGCAGTGTTCCTGAAAGGAAACCCTAGATTGCAAAAAGCATTTCATTGCCTCCTTATTACACATGTACTTCTCTCACTGGCACTCACGGTTTCTTAACTATTTTTGAATGTCTCATGCCCTTCCTTTTCCCTTTCTGATACAAAATATTTCAATTGATTTTACTGTGATTCTAACATACCCAACACTTTTTATGTCCTGCCTCAGGTATTTTTCCTTCACTTGAAATAGTACACTTCCTCTTCTACTAATATCTAAAAGTACCTCTCACTCAATGTCCATCTCATGTGGGACCTCTTACATGAAGTCTTCTCTGGTTCCACCACAGCAATATTCCTACTGACATTTATATCTTCCTTTATATTGAACACTAAGTATTTTTTTCCACAGGAGAATTCTTAATATGGTTGTCATATCTAAAAGTATCTCATACTATCTTCTAGTAAAATGTTGTATCTTTTTGGAAACATTAAGCTCCTTAAAATGAGGGACTATTTTTATATTATTATAACATCTAGCCATAAAGTAAACTTTTAATAAATATTTATTAAACTGTAACCTGAAGAGACATATTGTATGAATTGAGTTCTTCGTCACTTGTGGGTTGTAGGATCAGCATCATTACTTTCTATTCCTCCTCTTTATATTAATAGTTTCTGAATAATAGTAAAGATTAAAGAGAGAAAGACATTTTAATACATTTCTCAGGTAATTTTAGTAACTATAGTCCAAAGGACTAAGTTGTTGAAATAGTAAAGCAGAGTTTGGTGAGGAAGGGGTGCAACGTGATTTAAAGAAACAAAGTTGGTGAACATTGAGGAAGAACATTAAGAGAAATAAAATATGATATGTCTCAGTGGTGAAAACGATAACATTATATTCATTTGGAAAATGTTTATTTCTCTAGTATCTATGTATATGATAGTAAAGAAGAAGAATAAGCAATTGATGATATTTAAATTTAGAGATTTGTGTGCAATTAATTATTGGAATTAAAAGTAGATTGTGTCTTTAGCTACTACAAATAAAAATGTAATCATATAATCTCAGGAGTGGAAGGACAGATGTCAAAAATGAAGTCAATTAAGTTTGGAATAGCATCACCTAGGATGTCAGGAACTAAGAGTTCTAGCTCTGGTTTTACCCAATTAGCTTTAAGACCTTGAACAATTCACTCTCTCTGACCTTCTATAAGTATGTTTGACTAAAGTTTCTAAGGCCTCTTCCAGATTAAATATATCTAAGTCAGTATGCATGAAAACTGGAAGAATACAAAAAAAAGGGGGCAGGTTTAAGCAGTAAGAGCCTAGAAGATTTGGCAGATTTTTATGATCTAAATATGAGGTGAGATTGAGAACAAAACAAAAAATTTATGATCATAATGAGTAGGACATGAAGCCTAGCTCTGGAAATGTAGGCAGATATTGTTAGTGCTATGTCATCATCTGAGCATTTTAAATAAAAATATGCCCGGGTTTGCTTTGTACTAACCTGCATAATGTTAGTCTATGATATTTATGATTACTGAGTATTCTAAATCAGTATATATCTTGGGGCTATGTAGAAATCTGATTTGCTTTTAAAAAAATTACCATAGGGAAGGAGCTAAATAGTGGATTTTGTATGTGTGTTTTATAGAGGGATTTGTTCATGGAAAATTATTGCTATAGCATTTATGAATTATTCCTGTAACTTCACAATTAGGAGGTATTAAAGATGAAGAAAAAATAGTGTGAATTACTATGGTTTTTTGAACTAGAGCAAATCGTACATTTTGACCATTATTAATCTAGTTTCCTTTGACATACATCAGCAACGGAGCTGACAGGTAGCACTCTTTCCATTTCGTGCTCACAGGTGGTTAGTGATATGGTCATGAAACGGAATTGTGAGAGGCTAACTAGTAATTCAAAACAAAGAAGGTGACTACAATGGACTCTTCAGTTGTTATATCTCCTAATTTAGCTAAAATTTGTAAACAAACCGCTCTACCAATGACACTAAATATAGTTGTGTGTTGTCCTTGGGCTGTGTATGTGGCTGAACCACAGAAGTTGAAAATGTCTCTTTTAAAACATCACTGTGCAATTATTCAATGATACCTCCAAGTTTGTTTCTTCCTTTTGGAGGTGAAAAGAAAATTAAGTGTTTGCTGTAAATGTAGAGAATGATGTTTTTCCCTGTGCACTCTGCGTAGAAGAGAGAATTCTAGTAGGATACCTTTAGGGCCTAAAGACATGCTCAGTGCCATCATCCTGAAGAAGTGATCACATATCATGTATCTGTCTTGCTGGGCACATAAAATTCAAATGACTGAGTTGGTGTTGATCTAACTCAGTACTCAGAGACCCCTGAGAAATTGTGAGGCCAAGTAGTCAAAATTTTCCCTGTAACCCCTCCAACTTGTTTTAGAATATCTATATCTATAAAATATTAAGTAGACTCCCTATTTAATATTTTACTTGAAAAAGGATTCCTTTCTTATTTTCACCTGTTTTCTATTCCCTGCATCTCTCCCACTTACCCAGAATTCTCTTTCATCTCATTCTCTTCAGTGTTCAAAGTACCCTTCAGGTCCCACTCCCTCAATAAAGCCTTTTCACATTGCTACTCACGCTGATCTGAACCTAACAAATATCCGAGGTTTGTCACTTTCAACTCTAGTGGTTTGGCCGTCTGCTATGTGTGGTTTAGTTTCCCTTGAGGGCATCGCTCATGAGTTGTATGTTTTTAGTTATACGTTTTGCACACAGCATCAAACTCAATACAGTAAAATCTGTCCAGTATGTGCACAAAGCTAACATGGGTTTATGCCGATTTTGACTCAGTGTCTCTTCTCTGTCCTCCAGTTCTGAGAACCCAGAAAAGTGCTAGGCACACATAAATATGTGCACACCATGAGGCTGTCTAATTTAGGGCTGTGTAGCCCTTGTGAGTATACAACATTGCACTGCTCCATAACAGGGTATGCCTCTGTTGGGGAAGGTCCTACTTACTCTGCATTATTATGTAACAAATAAAAGGCTTTGAGTTTAGTTATATGATTGTCTTAATAAATGACAGGCCCATTTTACTTATGCTTTAAAACTATGATCAGTAATTGTAATTTATTTTTTAAAGGTCCCCCTGGACCCCCAGGTGAAAAAGGAGATAGAGGTTTCACCGGAGAAGCTGGCCCACAAGGCAGTCCAGGCCCAATAGGTATGGTAATGGGGACTGTTTACTCAAACTTACTCATGCACTGCGGGGCTCTGTAAGACACATCTGTGTATGTGTGTAGGGGCAAGAGCTATTTATTTCCCTGTGGGAAGTGAGTGTGATGTGTGTGTGCTGTGTGTGTCCATCAAGGGGCGTATTACCCGTTTCAGCAGCCTACTCACTCTAATGTGCTGAACGGAAGTGCTGACCCTAGAGGAAGTTACAAGCTTTAGCCAGAGTAACTGCATGGGGCTGTTCACAAAGCACATAAATCTAGGGAGGAGTGCTGTCCATATCATGGACAGCAGTCTGTATAAGGCGTGATCTAGTTTTACATCCCACGTGGAGAAGAATGTGACACCTTCTTCGTGTTGAATATGTTTGCAAGTAATCTGGTTTTTAAGATGCAAAAATTATGCATTAATATAAGTCAGAGGCAAATTGGATTAGATTCCTTCTATAGTCCTTAAGTGGAATTTGCCTAAACCTATGGAATCCAAATGTAAAGGCTGACTAGAATGCAGTTGACTTTCACCTTTGTTGTCGGACATTGTATTTTTACTTAGAGCAAAATTGTTTCCAATTATTTTCCCTGTCTATGGCTATAATCTTGAAAGCAATATTTTGAAAGAAGATAACAGAAGGCAGAAAAGGAGAAAGAGCAAAAACTTTCTTTGCTCTCAAGAAAATTAAGAAGACAACGATGACAAGATTGCCGTGTTCTTTTTGGCTAGGAATCAAATACCCCACATGCTTTTTGCAAACGGGCAGAATATTGCATGGTCTAATTATAACTGGAACGGTTTGTGCTGACAAAATTGTCTAAATACCATGTACTTTATCTCATTTTTCTGTCTTTTGATTACATAAAATGTTCTTCTTTCTGATCAATGTATTGACTAGCCCAGGTTACATCAGAAAAATATTTTTTAAAAATGAAAAGCATGGATTTTACAACTGCCTGACCTTTGTATAATTGTGTTTTAAGAGCCAATATATCAAGTTTACATTAAAAAGTTTAAAAAATTCTTTTCAAGAAAAAACGAGTATATGTGTACTTCTGTATACATTTTGCGGGTCCTTAAAAGTACTTGCCAGGTAAGATTCTTTATTGAGAAAAGTCTTTCTAACTGATGAGCATTCAGCAGATGTTAATAATGGTGCGTTAATGTCATCAGCAGCTGAAGTAACTGGTGTTATGTCAGCTGCCAGACCTGCTACTGTCAAAGGTCGTCAGCTCCTCCATGACTAAGTACATTGTCAATGCTTGCTAATTCAGCCATGGCAGTCTAGACTGGGCTTTGACCTGCCATGCAAAGCTTCACTTGGGAGCATCTTCGGCAGCTGTTTCTGAATTATGGATGTATGACATATAAAGAGCGATTTAGAAGCTTTAGCTTTAGTTAATGCCATACAGGTGCCATTGTAAAGCTGCTTTGATTCTTGTAGTGAGGGTTTAGTCTGTTGCTGTTGGCACTGCTTATTTACATAAGCAGGCGTTATCCAGGCCCTCGTAAAGGAAAGACTTTATTTGTTGGAGTGATAAGTTGACGCTTTTAGATGATTAGGTCACCCTTTGGTTTGGTGTACTGCAGCAAAATTATTCAAGTTTTCAGGAATCCCAATGGATTCTTCCTAATTAATCGCTGCATTCTATTTCAGTCGCTGCCAAATTGCCCAGCTGCCCCATACTTAGAAGTGGAATGAGGAAGTCATGAGTATGTGGTGGAATGTCATGTTACTTCTACTTCCTGATTTGAGCAAATTCACCCCCCCCATACATCTAATTAAACCCTCTAAGCTCAGCTTGGTAAAGTCAAAGGCATTTAGACTCACAATGGTAATATGAAAATCTGAGAAACTTAAGTGGTTATGCTAGTGGTCTTAAATAATCAATGCCATCACAATTGTTACTCATGCACAAGGTGCATATTATGCTAAAGTATGCTTTATCTCAAAATAATATATTAGAAATTTATTCCAGAGTGTCATTTCCTTGGAATTATGCCAGGGAGAATGACCTATTGCCTTTTACTTGAAAGAATGTTAATTGAGCACTTTCCCTGTGCCTAGTGCCCTACAAGGCTGCATGGATTCCATGCACAGAAATACAGAGTTTCTGCCTTCACAGAGCTTACAGCACAATAAATAATTATATAAGGGTGATGAATGTCATCATCGAGGACTCTTGATCTCATCTGAGATCCCTTGGGGACTGCTTTTAGGGTTATTCCACCATGACAGAAATGCTTTGCAGAACACCTCCTTAGTTCCTGGTGTACTTTTGCTGCCTGTAGGCCTTAGTGGACTGTTTTTTCCCATGGTGGCATCACAGGGTAGCCTTACCTGTATGCATGGAAGGTACCACCTTCATAAGTTTCCATGAGAAGACCCCTTTGATTGCAAAATTTTCACCATCCATGGGTGCTGTTCACTTTTCTTACATAGCTTGAATTTTCCACCATAGGAATCAGGTCTCTGGAGAAGAATTAAACCCTACCATAACTGTGAATATTGGACTGCAGGAACTGTATTTTAGTAGTCTTCATCCCATCCCGCCCCTACTCCCAGACTGACCTATAAGGGCGTCTCCTCTGGCTTCCTCCAGGGCAATGCTTGCTAAAACATACATTTGAGTGAGGAGTGTTGTGCCAGCAAATCCCAAAACGTCACTGTTAACTATGTACATATTGTTAAATGAAACTAAATGTAGCACCTTTCACCAAGAGCTGATGGAAATAATGACTGTATTACTATAAAGGAGGAGGAGGAGGGGAGAGGGAGGGGGAGGAGAAGAACCCACACAAAGCATTTGTCATATGGAAGGCACTTTTTCTAAGTGTTTTACATTAATTAGCTCTTTTACTCATCACATCAAACTCATGAAACAGGGACAAATAATGCACCATTTGACAGATGTACTGGGAGGTTAACTGGGTTGCCCAAGATTAAGCTGCAGCTGGTAAGTGGAAGAGCCAGGATTTGAACTCATATGGACAGGATTACAGAGTTCTTGTTCTTACCCAGTCTGCCAGACCCCAGAAAGAAGCCTACACGCAGAGCTGGGCACCCAGCATATGTCAGTAATGATTAGACCATCCTTACTGAGGTGGCTGGACCACTCATCTGTTCCTGCTTCTGTAAAATGACAGATTTGAATTGGATCATGAGTTAGACCCTTGAAACCCTAACATGCTTCACAGCTGAGGTTCTGTGTTTCCTGTGGACTAGAAGCAGGGGCCAGACCATTCCCCCTTGACACAGGTTACTGCAGAAAATCAGCTAATTGCCACCTGAAGGTCTCAGAGAATCTGGTCTCTTGGAATACAGTTCAAGAGTGGTGCTTATATTTAGGGGCCATGTTTCCAGTGTTACATAAACTGTTCACATAACTCTGTGGACTATCTAGAGTCTGCTTAAACATCTGCCATAATAAAGGTCTGATAGTTGAGTAATTTCTGGTATCACAGTGCTTCATTTACAAATTCTTTATTCACCTATTGAAAATGTGATGTGATCCCTGGTCAGACAGCTATATTCTGAACGTACTCATTGATCCACCATTCAAGAGGCTGTTTCTGATCTCCCAAGGCATTCTGTTACATTTCCTTATTCTTCTAAAGTTTTAATTGCCATAATTACCTTCTACATTTATTTGTTAACTTTGTTACCATCTTTCTCCACACTGGAAGACTTATTTGGGTAAGAACCCTTGTAACTCCAGGACTGTACGTGGGCTGAAACAATGCGCTTGCTCAATATATTTTTCTTGCATCAATGGAGAAAATGGTAAACAGGAGTGGCACCCTATAAGTGGAGAATGTTCTACGATGAAGATATAAGCAAGTTCAGACTCAATAATATTTTTATTTGTGAATTTGAGTGGCAGATCCTAAGAACTGCAAGGGCAAAGGTTTACCTGCCTTGCTTGGCTAAGGAAGAAGGGTATAAACACCAACCTGTCCGCCTGTTTTCAGAACTGATGTTAGGTCGTTATTTGGCTGGATGCTGTGAAGTTCAGCCAATATATACTACAAACTGTGTACAACTATATATACATATATAAATACATATATACATATTATATATATCTGTACATATACAAAATAGCATATGTTGAGTAATTAAATTAAATGGAGATGTCGTGACTTTACCAATATTTCTAAACATAATTTATCATTTTAATATGGATAAATATCTGTTTATTATCTGTTAGAGTCCAAATTTTATACTAGATTGAATAATATTTCTTAACTCTTTAGGATAATGTAATTCTTAAATTGAATATCTGTTAGAGAACAGTTAGCTCAAATTTAGGTGTTTGTATAAATGAACCTTAAGAAAATACTGTTAATGAGTTAAGTATATATAAGCCATAAAGCCTGCCTTCTGGAGCCTGAACCTAATGGCAATATATTAAAAGATTGACATTGGCAGAAGATGTGTAATCAATTTTTTATAATGCATTTCCCAAGAAGTTAACTTGAAATTGGATTTCTAGAAACTAATAATGACACCTAAAATGACATTTTTACAATAATCTATTTCAAGCTACAGGACTTCAGAATAGAATATTTTATACCACAGGAAAATATTATTTGCTTTTATATGCAGTTTTCACAATTATTACAGCAATTTATGGTGCTAAAAACAAGCTGTTTTATTTAAGTGTGTAAAACTGTGGTTTTGTATATGTATATAATATATACACAAAAATATATGTGTTGGTTTGGGATCACAATGAAATATGTAAAATCAAGTCCATGAGAGCCAGAGTGACATATTCCAGATCTAGGGGCCTAATTTTTAAAAATAAATAGTCTGATACTAGACGACATAAGCCTTCTGGTTAAAAGGCCAAGACTTTTCCCCCTGATATGTTTTTATTTGTAATAACAATGTCATTTGTTAGAAACCTACAATGTACTAAATACACTAGTGTTTCTACTTACAGTTTCTATCGTCTGTCAATGGCGCACATGAAATATTAGGAGAGATATCATGACTCCCTTTGGAGATTCCCCTAGATCATATTCATTAATGGACCCAGATTGTTTGTTTCATCATACTCTGAAGTCTGTACGAAAAGTGAATTATTACCACTATGTTTCTGTTCATTGACTATGCAGGTCCCCCAGGGCTTAAAGGTGATCGGGGAGCGATTGGCTTTCCTGGAAGTCGTGGACTCTCGGGACCAGCAGGGAAGCCCGGGAGGTCAGGTATGATAATGTGTATTTTCCTTATAGAGTATGTGAGCACCAGCTCATACTTCTTAGCTGACAAAAACAGTGATCATCGCAGTCTGAACAGCAGCACTCACATGCAGTCTGTGTAGTGGTCTGGCACATTCTGAAACTGATGATTGTCCTCCTGACGAAAGTTTCTGTGTCCCAAAGGAAAATAGTGTTAAAAAAAGACAGAGAATTTATGAACTTCTCCAACCATAAATCACCATGAAAAATGGCATCTGTTATAGAGCAAAGAGAGTGGAAAGACTGGCAAAGGAAAACAAACAAGCAAAGTATAAATAACACTTTAACCAAAACGGGCCACTTTTGGTTATAGTTGGCAAAATGCAAATAGACCTGAAATTCTATTCTATGCAAGATAAACTACCTGCTGTTATATATTAGTACTTGTAATCAACATTTTTCATGCCCTTTAAAATTTACGTGGATGATGATTCCTTATGCCAGTCAGGAGCCTAAACCTGAACTGTGAACTTTGCACAGAAATTTTAGAATTGAACAGGGTTTTTTCCCTAATTTCAAAATAAATTATGACCATGGTAATAGGATCTTTATTGTTTAGGTTTGTAGAAAAATTGCATATACCATCTATCCACAAATAATTACCACTATGATTGGCATCTCGCATTAGTATGATGCATTTGTTACAATTGCCAAACCAACATGGATACATTATTATTCATTAAAGTCAACAGTTTACATTGAGGTTCATTGTTGGTGATGTTCATTCTATGGGTCTTGACAAATGTCTAGTGCCCTGTATCCACCATTATAATACGTATCATACAGCGTAGTTCTACTGCCCCCAAATGTCCCCTGTGGTCTGTTCCACCTGCTCATCATCACTCCTGCCCCTCCCCAGACTCCATCAACCACTGATCTGTGTGCTGTCTTCATGCTTTTGTCTTTTCCAGAATGTCATATAATTGGAGTCGTACTATAGGTAATCTTGTCAGAGTGGCTTATTTCACTGAGCAATTTAAGTGAATGCGGTTTAAGGTTCTGCATATCTTTTTAGGGCCTAAGAGCTCATTTCTTTTTAATGCTCAGGATATTCCATTGTGTGCATGTACTATAGTTCATTTATCCATTCACCTATTGTGGGGCATCTTAGTCACTTCCAAGTTTTGGCAGTCATGAATGCAGCTGCTTTAGGCATTCATGTGCATATTTTTGTGTGGACACGCATGCACCTAGAAGTGTGATGGTTGGATTGCCTGGTAAACCTGTGGCAGCTCTATAAGATAAACTGCCAAACTGCCCTCAAAGTAGCTATACCATCTTGCCTTCCCACCAAAAATGAATGAGAACTCCTCATTACTCCACATCCTCAGGCATTTGACTGTGTTAGTGTTTTGGATTTTAGCAATTCTAATAGGTGTGTCGAGGTATTTTTGACAGCATCGGTGTTTATAGACTGTGTCAATGGCGATTGGGCTTAGAGAAAAATCAGCTAGCCACAAATGACCAACGTACACCCAGTCTCCACCAGACACCTGATCACCTGAACTGAATGCTATGTGTACACACCAGCAGTCTCTAAACCCATCCAGCTTTCATCGGCCTTTTTTGAGACATGGGAAGAAATGTTTGTCCATTTAATTAATTTGCTGGGAATTATCTGCATCACTCAGGAATTACTGAATTTCCTATTTGGGTAATTTGTGTTCAGTCAATAAATATAGTTAAAAACCTTGAATTTGACAAAATTGCAAAGCTACTTACAGATTCTAAGATAATTAAAAATAATTCTGTGAAGTGGGAAAACATGTATTTCATCTGCATTCTAAGTTTAAAGTTTACAATCTATGTCAAATAGCTACTTATTTACTATCTCTGGCAAATCATGGTAAGATTTTGTTTGGGGTTCTTTCTGGTGCAGTTTATTTGTAACTTCCTCTCTCCATGAGATCATGATGATTAACTCTATGAATGAATATCGCTGTGAACTCTAAGTAAATCAGAGTTACTAATTTGTCTTTCTTTTCTTCTTTTTTTTATTGCTGTTCAAGTACAGTTGTCTCCATTGGTCTTTCTAGAAAGTCTAAACAACAAGGGGCAATGAGGCAGAACTTTAGGAATGTTAGGAAGGCCTCACTATCTCCTAACAGCCTATTTCACACAACTTTTCTCTAAGTGGTGAGGGGAGACATTAGAAATAAACTGCAGAAGAGCTGTGTCGTCATACACAACGCATCTGATTAACAAGAAGCAGCCAACCTTGTTGACTGCGTGCCTGCGTGGCCTCGCACACCCGGCTCAGGGGTGAGGATGCCAGATGAGCCGTCTCCCCACCCTGGGGGCCGGGGGGGGTGGGGTTTCTTCCAGGCACTTCCTCACAGTGATCTCTCATCTAAAGTTCAATCATAGAGATGATTCTGTAAAGTTTATGCGAAGGATCTCAATCTTAGACTTGTCATTTTGGGGGATTAAACAAAGTGGCCTGACCTTGAACTTAATGGGGGCACACAGTTATTTCATGTATAATATTCTCTCTGCCCTCTTGGGAAATACAGGGATAGTGCACATTTGCTTGCATTTACCGGAGACAGCACGGTGCATATCCGAGTCCTATCTCTGAATCCCCCCTCTCCACACAGTTGGCCTCTCTGAGCCTCAGTGTTCTTGTCTGCAAAACAACGCTAATAAGAGGACCCATGTTGTAGAATTTCTATACAAATCAAATTGTGATAGGATTTTGTTTGGGACTCCTTCCAGAACAATTTATTTGTAACTTCCTACTTACAGTAAATCATAACGATTAACTTTATAAATGAATGTCATGATGGGCTATCAGTAATCAATAGATATCTTCAGTGTTTCAAACAGTTTTTTGGGGGGGATTTATTGTTTCTATTTTGGATTAACAGCTTTTTAAAATTTATTTTGCTTATGTATTCTTTTTTTTATTGCAAAGCAAAATGTCTATCCATGTTGGTTATTAGCTATAGCTTATACAATTTTAGATATTTTTGTACTCTCAGACTCCTGGAGTTCAACAAATGCCCACTAGCTAGAGTACTTGGGAGAGCATTCCTTCATTCATTCATTCACCCAGTCAACACAATTTCATGAGAGTTCACTGTGTGCTAGAGATAAATATAACCCAGCTGCTGCCCTCAAGATCAGATGACAGGAAAATGCAGAAGCACTTAGCTCTAATGCCATGCAGTACGTAATAAGCATTTAGGAAGCAGGACCAGATGCTATGGGAGTAGAGAGCAGAGAATGATTCATTCCGTGTAGCAAGATGTGTTACAGTGTTAGTACTGGCCTAAGAGATGCAGAGAATTTCTTTAGGTCTGTGGTTCTCTAACTTTAGCCGGCACCAAAATCACCTACAGGACCTGTTTAAACAGCTTACTGGGCTTGACCCCCAGTGTTCTGGATTCAATAGGTCGGGGAATGCACACCCAGAAATTCTTTCACAGCCCAGGCTTGGAACATACCCCTCTAAGAAATGGAAATCAAGGTAGTTAAATTGTAATGGGAATAGAAAAACACAGTTTAGTTTGAGATGGGAGACAGGGGGGTTCCTGGGGTAGGGAGGAAGGGGGAAAGAAAAGGATGAGTAAGCCCAAAGCAAGTTAACTGCATCTCAGTTTTGTCTGCTTTTAGGAAAATGGGACATTTAATGCCCTTGTACTTAATTTAAAATAATGTTTGTAAAGGATCTACCCAGAACAGTGCCAGGTTTGTGATGGGCTTTCTAATGTGATATAATAATAATATTTAACATAATAATAATGATTATCAACATCATTAGTATTTTGAGTTTCTGTAGGTTGTTATAAAGTGATATTCTAGATTACTTTGTGCTGTTCTGTTTCCATGTAAAGCAAGCGTTGTGAATTGCCCTAATTTAAAATGTTTTCTTTTTTTGCTTATTTTCCTCCAAGGCAATCCTGGACAGAAAGGCCAGAAGGGAGAAAAGGGGAGTAGAAGCATATCATGTAAGTGTATAGTTTCTTGTTTTCTGTGCACGTGCACCTTGGTAAAACACGAACTCTGATAGTGGTGTCCGGGCCTGAGGCCAGTGTTGAGAAGGAACTTCAGCACTGATCCACATAGATTCTGTGGGAGTCAGCCCCAGTTTTCTGCAAGTATGTTAACTGGAGTAAAACAAACCGATCAAAAATTATACAACTCTTTGATTCTCATTACTCATTTGTATTTTGTTTTTGTGATGAGCACAATTTTCTAAAAACTCCACTTAAAAAATTGTTCCATTTTCAAGCCAATTTCTATCTGAAGGAAAATCGAGCTTATGAATAGGAACAATTACTGCCTCCTTGCCTATTAACGGAGCTTACCGAAATGTTCCGTATAGGAATCTGGACAATCTGAGAACTCGCCAGGCTAATTCTGAGATGGCTGGGTTTTGTGCTTTGTTTTATTTTACTAAAAACTTGAAGAGTGCTACTGTCTATCCAAGACGCTTAAAACTGCAGTGGAACAGATGTCACAAAAGGGCTCTCTGCTCGGGGGAGGGTGAACCTCACATTGCGATGAGCAGAATCCGTAAATTGGGCCGTAAAAACTGAATGCTAAATGTGATGTCTTCAGAATGCCGTGCCACAAGGCAATCATTGTGTCTTGGTTGAACCTACACAGATAAAATGAAAGGGTCAGGAAAAGGAATAAAGGTTTCCTTCTTGCTTTCTCAGGTCCAAGTGTCCCCCCCTTGTATTCTCAGTAGGAGCTACATGTGCTTACCCAGAAAGGGTCTGTTTTACACAGACCATGGGAAATCCTTTCATATACCAAAAATCTAGCAGTTTTCCATTATAGTTATTGTTTAAAAGATATAGTACTAATTTCTCTGCATTAACAAAAGCAATTATTTTATCTTAATACTGTGTATGAGTGCCACCTTTAGACAAGTTAGGGTCACCATTGCGAATGCCAGGCATCCAAGTACGGTCCAACCACATGACATTTCCCATATTTGTTGCGTTGTTGATCTGTTTGCCCTTGGACGAAATAACACTGAGTATTGTGTGTCTCCTCAAGGTGCTTTAGTGTTACTCGGTGATTATTAGTGTTGTTCTTATATTAAGATAATAGAAACATTAGTATATCTTTTCTCCTTTGATTACCTTTGTCTACTGTATACTTTCCCCCACTGCTTCCCCTTCTCCTGGTCACTCCTATTTTCAGTTGCATAACTGAAAATATTTCCTTGTATAGCTCTTCCCTAGCTTCATGTTTTTCTCTACCTTTATCTCTTTATCTTTGGTTCTTCTTTATCGCCTCTTTTCCATTTCCTGAGACTTTTTCTGAGCTACTTAACTTTGAGTCTGACTCATCTTGGCAAATACAGGACTTCTTTATTTTGTAGACTGTAAACTGAACACACACAGAGTCTTCTGTCGCTTGAGGTTATCAAATGCTTTGAACATTTTCTTTTCAGATGTGTTCAGAAATGTTTTCAATTACAGATATTTTCATGGCTATTTGCAGTTTGTGTGCATTCTTTCTTTGAGAAAGCAATAAGAGAGAGATTTCTGTGTACACGTATATATAGCCTCCAGACTCCATGGAGTATGTATAACTCTGTGTTTCAAAGAGAAAGAATTATGTACACAAACACCTGTACAGTATGTTTTGCCTTTTACTTATTTAAGTTAACATGCCAGTCACCTGCCTATGTCAGTACACGTGTCTCTACCTTTTTTCCCAAGGGCTATCCATTTATTCCACTACACAGTGATACTGTGATTACCATCATATATCATTCAGCCCACCAGTCATGAGTGCTAGAACATTTTTGCTTGCTTTGATTTGGCTTTAATAGGCAATGCCATATTCAGCATTCTTATACATGATCTCATGGGAATATTTTTAATAGAGAATTTTCTAGAAGTAGAATCAATAATTCAAAGATGACATGCATTTTACAATTTGAGGGATACTTGCAAATGGCTCCTAAAAAAATTATATCAATCAATTCTCTATGAAAGTGCCTGACTCCCCACATCTTTAATTAATCCTGGTATACAAACATTTATATTGAATTATTTTAATAGACATTTTTTATATAAATTTTCAGGCTTAATTTAAATGTAATGCAAGTAACAGTTGATTTCCTCTTTTGTGTGTGTGTCAGGACCGGTGCCACTCCCTGATCCTTTTAGGGCAGGGCCCTTGGAAGATCAGGTGGGCTGGGTGGGACACCCTCTGCTACTATCTCATTCAAATGCCCTTCACCTCTGGACAAGTCATCAGTACAGCTGACTCCACGAGCCCTTTGGGGATCCTTCAAACGACCTTGGTTCCTGTGTGGTGCCCGGCTCCCGCGTGGCTTCCTCTCCTCGGCCTGGGTGCCGTTGTGGCCTCTGTTCTCATGCTCATACCTCTCCCCACTCCAGTCTCCCACCATCGCTACCACCTCCTACTATCCCCGACTGGGACGCCTCCCATAGAACTGACTGGCACGTTGTTCCAGCAAGCCCTCAGAGCCAGGCCAGAGTCCTCTGCCACCCCCTCATCCTGTGCTTGCTGCACCCATTTAACCCATTGGGTCCTAGGAAAAATCTGGTGGGCACTGACTAGATGTGGGTTCTTTACATTCAAAAATACTCTTCTCATCCAGTGACAGGGATAACATAAAAGAAAAGCTATTCATTCATTCATTCATTCATTCATTCATTCAACATATATTCATCCTGTACACCCTGGAGCTGGACTTTACAACTAATAAGATAGCCATTGTGTCTCACCCTAGAGAGCCAATTGTATTATACAAAACAGCAAAGCTATATTGGAGAAAGAATAGGGCTCTATAGATGTTTAGAGCAGGTCAAGATTTTTAAATTCCATAGAATATTAAAAGGTTAACTTGATTTGATTTGATTAATTTACCTCTGTTTTCTTAGTCCCCAGATTATAGCATTTTCCAAGTTTTATAGTGAGGTAAAGTGGAACTTGAACAGTTCATTCAATACATTGGAATCAAAAACAAAACTTTTCTTAAATTGCCTGTCTATTTCAAGCAGGAATTTTTGATCATGAAAAAATAATACCGATAATTTTTTATTCTGGAAAACTCTTTGTATTTTGTGCTACAAATAACCTAGTACAGATCCTGGAGAAAAATAAATATTTCAGTAGAACTGGAGATATTTTATGAGAGTGAAGAAAGCGGCCGACCAAAAAAGAAAAAAAAGAATAGGAGATGTGTGGGGTTCAATCTTACTTTTTGAATATTCTCTATTAACAGATTGCATTTTCACAACTCCTCCTTCCTTCAAGGTTTAACACAGAGTCCCAGGTCTAGTAGGATTCTAAGTAGTGCGCCTGTTTGTGTCTCTCCCCTTCCATTCCCTTCCCCGTGAAATGGACATTTAACACCTACCTCACAGGGTTGTTGTGAGGGTCACAAAAGATGCTGTGTGTAAAGATGCTCTATAAAATCATAAACTGCTTCAAATATGTAAGTTATGGCTCCCAGTATTCTCTCTGGACTGGAACCGCTCTTCCTCGTTGCTATAACACAGACATTTCAAACCTATAATTGGAAGGAGTGGAAGCAGAGTATAAATTTAAGACGCCAAATAAATGTCATAGACAAAAAGAGATATCCTAGAATCTAGACAATAAGATTCTGCATTGACAGAACAATACAATTGTGTCCAGATCACAAATCAAGGAGCTGGAGCCAAGCCCAAGAGCATAAATTATAAATAAAAACACCAGCATAAGCAAGTGCATGACAGAGGCCAGCAGCTGTCCGCAGAGGTCAGAAAAAAATGTCGGGCTAATAAAACAAGAGTCCAGGTGCTGAAAGACAAAGCGTGACCCCAAGACACTGGCTGGCGAGAAAGCTGCAGCAGCGCTGAGATAAATTCGAGTTGTCAGTGGGACTCTGGGTCCGTGCGTGACTGCGGGACACCCGGGTCTCCAGGAAGAAAAAGGAAGGTGTGGGGAGGGACCAGCCAGTTGTCAGTGTTCCCAAATATTAGCAAACTGGCAACGCTGCCTCTCCAGTTAATGGAAATATCTGGAGACTCGCTGGATCTCTTCGTTCATGGTTTCATTGGGCATGACTTCCTACCCAACTTCCTGTCCAGCTCGCAGGCAAAGCCTGGCCGCACTTTCACTGGCCAGCAGGCCTTGGTCCACGTTGGCCACAGAATGGCTCACATCCCAGAGACCCTGGGAGACCATTCCTGGGGGTTCTATTCACAAGTTATCTGACCACCCCCCAGGCTACAAACAGATTCTTAAATATGTGAAATAGCAACCTTTACATTCCAAATTGGAGAAAAGGGGCTTCTCTTTTTAGCCAAAAATAGATGCTGAACACCCAGCTTAAATGCACAAATTATACCAACGTTAATCATGTATAATGAAAAGAAAGCAAATCTGAGCCCAGCTCTAATGCCAGTCACGTGGTTTGTCTTCCGTGTTCTTGGCCTAACTTGGAAGGGTAAGTGTTTCACTCGAGGAAAAGAATTCCTGCCATACAATGACACACTGTATAAGGCTGTGTTGTAAACATATGTGTTACTAATGTGTGGATTGTTGGTATGTTTTACTGTACTTTTCTCAAGCCTATGGTACTATAACTAGGATGTGCCTCTAGAGTATCTTATCTTGAAACTCATATAATGTAGTATGAACAATCAATTTGTCATTCACTCAATGTCTACCAAGGACACAGCTAAATCATAAATGAATTTTGGTCTTTCTCAAATCGTTCCATTGACCAACGCAAAGCCTTCTCCTCCAATCACTACATAATTATAATATGAACTTTTAGGGAACATTTGCTGTGCACCAGGGGCTTTTGATGCACTAGCTCATTTAATCCTCAGAAGAGTCTTGGAGGTAAGTTCTATTAACATTCTCACTTTATAGACTAGGAACTGAGGCTTACTGCTAACAAGTGGAAGAGCAGAAACTCAAAGCCAGGTGCATCCATTTCCAAAGTGTCTCTTTGTAACTACAA